TGAACTCTTTACATCAGACCTGCATCATGTTTTCCTTTTGATTATGGTCAGTCCCAGTTCAAACATCAAGGCAGTACTTGTCTTTCTACATAATTAATTTGTTTCTTAGATTTACTTTTCTATCCCTTGAGTGGCCCTTAAATATGACCTGTTCTGATAGTCAATTCTCAAGAAACAAAATCTTCATTGTACTAACGCAACACGCGACTAAACATCCTATTTATATTCAGTTTTGACGTTTTGAGCATTGTTAATTATTGAGCATTGTTAATTAAAATGCAGCCGAATTTTTTTTTTTAATGTACGTCATTGAGATATATCCTTAATTTTTTTTAAGGGGGAGGCTTACAAAGTATTAGCCTTGGTCAATGCTCTCGTCGTTATTCGTCCCGTACGCGGTCAATCGTCGGCGCGGCATATATCCTCACGCGCTATGCACATGCATGTAAAAATACAGCGTGAACAGCGACCTCACGCGGCCACTATTATTTTATGCAAATCAGTTGGAGACGATGTCGAGCCTTGGTTCAATCGTCGGCCAAAGCTTATGTTTTTCTTTACTTTGCGCTAGATTTCCAGCGCACGACCTCGTATGCGAATACAGATAATGTAGCCAGGGCTAATATGTGGAGTGTCCAATCACACCTTGGTAAATCCGGACGTCATCAAATTATTTGCAGCTATTCCGCCTTTTGCGGACGTGACAGGAACCACAGTTTTTGTGCATTAGTGCCATGTGCAGAGACACACAATTGTTCGTGTATGGATTATGTACGGTGCCACGTTTCACTATGCAAGTTTCCACGCAACGATCGACCAATAAGAAAACGACATTTAAGGTCAGCTAAGGCTATTAACATAATGAGCACCACCCCCAAAAATTCACATGGACGATTGAACCAAGGCTCGACATCGTCTCCAACTGATTTGCATAAAAATAGTGGCCGTGTGAGGTTGCTGTTCGCGCTGTATTTTTACATGCATGTGCTAGCGCATGAGGATATATGCCGACGATTGACCACGTACGGGACGAATAACGACGAGAGCATTGACCAAGGCTAACAAAGTATCTGCAGAAAATTGCTGTTTTTAGGGAATAAAAGGTTTAAATAATGAGAAAGTACACTTTGAAGAGTAAAAACAAAAACAAAAAACAAAGATTTGAAGATTATGAGAGTGTACATGTACGTTTATCGTTCTGTTTCAGTGAGTGAGTCTTGTTGGAACAAAATACCTGTTTTGTCCACGGATTTTGTTTCGCGATTTTTTTACAGAGAAGAATTTTAAAAAATGGAATAAAAGTACACCTTTACAATGAATTTGTTCAAGAATTATTACTAGGAGGTATACACAATGTATTCAACAAGTTTCTATGCACCCCGTATATATTGGAATTCATTTTCTAATTTCCTTCACTATAACAGCGTTTTAATTTGTAAGAGCTTATTAATCTCTAATAACAATAATATTAATATAAAAAACAACAGATTGCAATGAACCTCCATATGACTTAACGTGAAGAGGTCCGCGCGCGCATGCACATATGACATAAGTCACTATCAGCTACAGAGAAATTGAAATTGTTCATTTCATGAAGTGACTTATGGATTTGGCGCCTATTTTTCACCTGGTAATGATGAGTTTTTGCCTTAGAAGCAATTTAAAATCATAATTCAACTATCCAACTTTATTATATATAAAAACTGAGTCAATAAAAGTTAGTGTTCTGGGTGAAAGGGTGGATGCAAAATAGGCCCAACTTCAAACACGTTTTTCTCGAAATGGCAAAAACTGAGATAGGTCAGATCGTGGTATGATCGACGAAATGTGTAATTTACAAAGGTCCGTGTGTGTGCTTCTGTGCATGAGCACCTGTACACAGGAAAATTTACATTATTTGTTTTGCATGTATCCTGTTATAAAAAAAACCTGACGTCTCGCATGAACGGTATGTCTGATTTTTAGTTGAAATGACAGCAAATATTGGCAGAATAGCTCATGGAGGCCTGGTAGGATTTTGCTATGTGTTGATATATCCAAAAAGTGTACAGGGAGCAGGTGGAGGGGAGTCCTCCCCTAAGCTTTCAGGAAACTATCCTGTAAGATCAATTCAATATTTGTACAAGTTGTTTTAGGTGAGTGGATTGACCAAATGACAAACTATCAAACATCACAAAGTAAATCTTCCTGATGCAGAATTCAATCAGAAGTCTGGTTAATATACCATTTTAAAATCATATTAAACCCCATAAGTGAATAAAGTACTTAAGAGTCATTTTGTAGGATCCAATCACACGCATAACTTGTCTATTATATTTCCAATTTCTTTTGTTCTCATGCCTTCGTTGGGGATGGAAAATGCTCTAACAACTGTTTTCAATAGATTAGAAATTATCTAAATGAAAATTGGTCAAAATAAAATCACAGGGGACAGCTACAGTAACATTTTAAGTGACATCATTAACCACGAAAGAGCCATTTTAATCTTACAGCCTGGGACAAAGTTCGCACTCTGATATGATTTGGGCTTCCAAATATGATTGTCTTGAAATTTGGAATGCCTGCATAACTATCCATTGTAAGTATATGAAGCCCGGGAAGGGACAGAGTGGAATTTTTTTTTGGTATTTGCTAATTCGTTCGCACGAATTAGTAATTCGTTCGCACGAATTAGTAATTCGTTCGCACGAATTGCTAATTCGTTCGCACGAATTACTATTTCGTTCCCACGAATTGCTATTTCGTTCGCACGAATTACTAATTCGTTCGCACGAATTACTAATTCGTGGGAACGAATAAGTAATTCGTGGGAACGAATTAGTAATTCGTTCGCACGAATTCCTATTCGTAATTCGTGGGAACGAATTAGTAATTCGTGCGAACGAATTACTGGAGTTTGCTAATTCGTGCGAACGAATTACTAATTCGTGCGAACGAATTACTAATTCGTGCGAACGAATTACTAATTCGTGCGAACGAATTACTAAATCGTGCGAACGAATTACTAATTCGTGCGAACGAATTAGTAATTCGTGCGAACGAATTAGCAAAAAAAATTCCACCCTGTCCCTTCCCGGGCTTCATATAAGTACATTTGTACAACTCACAAAATGTATTTAGTTTCCATTCAATTTTGGACACTTATTTGGAAACGTTACATTTATGCAATACACCTATTCAAAAATTTAGATTTGGTGAGAACAGTATGTCTGATTTTCTTGAAATGAGAGCTGAAAATGACTGCCACTAAGGCTCTGCACGTGTAAAAACTGTGTTGATTTGAAAAATGTAAGTGGGGTTGGTCAGCCCCTGCCTTAAAGGGGTGAAATAAAAGCTGTACATATTTATCCTCCTAAGTTGACAAGTAACAACAAGGATGTTTGTCTGAGACACGGTTGAATTTTGAAGGTCTTTAATCATGTTTCACATGCATGCACTTCGTTGAGAAAATTTTGAATGTAAATGTGCATTCTAACATCACAAACATGATGCATTAAATCCCAACGTGTAAGCCGGTGATAAGATCATACACACCATTTTGTATGACTTAAAATTTAGCTAGATATATAATTATGTATTTTCAGTAGTCATTAGTTAAAACCAAATCTTAACTATGGTCATTTTTAACCGAGTGACCACTTTGTGATCCCCCATTCTAATTGTTATACCTAACGACGTCCCTGAGCTGGCCTTATTTATTCCAAGTCAGACAAATTTTATAATGAATATCAAATCTGTGCGCCTAATTACAAACGCACCTTTGGTTTTAGCTTATTTTTCATGTCCCAGCAATTTTGGGTATATTTCTCAGAGTAGTTATGATTATCAAGGGTTCCGGAAAAATCAAAGTTGGGCAAAAAGCTAGGTGTCCATTAACCATGAAATAGGATATCTTCGGCATACTGCATGTAGTAAGTGGATTTATCTTGTAAGATCTTACCTGCCCTTCAAGACGTAAATTGATTATAAAAAACACACCATGGCATCCGAGAACTTGTGAGGAAGAATTAACAAGATTACTGATTAAATTCTGCATTGGAACGATTTTATTTGTGATGTTTGATAGTTTCCATGAGCTGTTCCGCAAAAGGAGAGCAAATCGTTCTCCTTAAAATCCACAGATAAACAGCGGTGAAACGACCGTTTAATCTTAAAAATAATGGAAAATGCAGGTCGAGTATACCATATGCACGACGCTAGTCACGACGAGAAATTGGCTAACAATGTCCGAAAATCGCGTGGTATGAACGTGCATGATGCACTGTGTGTGGTGGGCGAAAGAACCTCGTTTTACGGAAAAAGATTTCTGTGAAACACGCTGCATCGTTTTACTTCATATATACCTTCCGAAATAAATTCATAAACACGGGAAATACATACACAGACAAGAGAGATCAAGTTCTGTGAATTAGCTAGCAAAGATTGTCTTTCTCCATAGATGTTTTCTTGGCATTTTTACAATGTCCATTCCGTCCGGCCTGCATGCAAAACACGGTTCACCGAGCTTGGCTATTGCATTGACTGGTTACCGCCCATCAAACCTTCTTTGGTCCTTAGTGCACAGGCTGTATAAGTTTGCAGTTTTCAATGCATGTGAAGTGCCAAGTTTGCCGGTATGTCAATGTGATCGATCTGCTGGCTGCGCTATGCGTACTGTCGCATACAATTGGGTCTGGTCACAGGTATGATGAGATAAGTTATCTGATATAGTCTGTGTTCAAGGCTGATGAAGTTGAACTCTAACTGCAGATATCAATGCAGGGGAATCGACCCAGTTGACCGCTCAGTTGAGAGCATACAGCATGCGTACAATTGAGTTGGGTCATTGTTGAATTGAGTGCTCTGACAGCTAGTCTTATTTCAAGGCTGATAACTACAATTGATGAAGTGTTTTGTGTTTGTTTGTTGTTTTTTTTTAAGGCACTTTTTGGCCATCCCCCACTTGCCTAATAAATTAGTCAACAAAAATGGTCCTTGATCGACCTGGCGCTTTCACGTACCTGCAAGGCAGCTAGCTGTGTCTTTTCCAAGTCACCCATCTTGCTCTCATGCTGTAGCCTCAATGCCTCCAGCTCAGTCTTCTCTAGCTGAATCATCTCTAAGGTGTGCTTCAGGTCAGTCCGGCTCTTATCAATGCTTGCTCGAACATCTTGTAAGGTTCGTTCTTCCTTCTCAGTGTCCAGGTGATACCGGGCTAAGATGGAGTGTTGGTCCTCAATGGAGGCCAGCAAGTCACGCTTCTGGTTATTTAGATCATTCAGGATTACCCTGGTTTCCTATGAATTGAGATGGTTGATATGTGAACAACAATATGGTTTTAACATAAATAACGCATTGTTACGGATATATACAAATTGAACAAATTTAGAAGGCCAGTTGTCTTAGCTATTTTGATCTTGTAAAAGATTCTTAACAGCCTATGATTTACGTACAAGGTTTCAACCCAAACCCATTTTACGTTCAACCCAATTAAAGTTGTAGTTGTCTAGCTATGGGCCCTGTGCACAAGTGCCCCTTCAACGGCCAGAAAAGGAGAGATGGGGGAGACCTAGACTGGTTCCGGTTCCATCTGCCCCATATTTCGAATGATCCAAAGTTATTGGGAGCAGGGATTTGTCTGGGAGACCACCACAAGTTAAATTCAAATGTGTTAGCGTAACAATGATGCCTGATGCTCACGGGCATCACTTCGGGGGAGGGGGGGGGGGTGTGTCAATACCCCCATCCCAATTGGTCAGTTTTATCAGCAAAAACATGGTGCTGTATATGTCATGATATATCACTAATATTTTTACATGCATAACATTCTATGATTTTCATACATAAAAATGTCCCTCAATTGGACTTGTAGTTGTCTGGATAAAAGTCTACACATCACACCACCATTTGTTGTAGCATGACATTCTAGTGCATCACCAGTCACACAGTTCCAGTAAGGCGGACAGGCTAAATACCCCTGGTTCATTTACCGGGAGCCGCTTTCATTTGAGCCCCCCTTTAATCGGCTCCCGCTTGCATAGAAAGCGGTTGACCTGTTTCTACAAACCGTCCGACGGTTGGCACTGCCGGCTCCCGATACAAATCACCATTTTAATAACAATAAATCCTGTGGTTTTATATCCAGCAGTGGGGCTTCCACTAACTGACCGCAAAGACCAGGGGCCTCACTAATCCTCTGCGCAGAGCTATTGTTCACTGTAATTGGTGACTACTACAGCATTGATAGCGTGTAATGTACATGAAGGCCTTTTATTCAGGTTCTATGGAATGGAAATTTCGTATCAATGATACCACACTTCATGGCGAGCACTTTTTCTACAGAGCTATTGGTTCTCACTAGCTCCGTAAAAAAAACCTCACGTGTAATTAGTGTGGTCATCAATACGACGGCCTATTGACACAATGCTCTGCTGCTTTTCGCTCAGGTGTTTTTGGAAGGACTGCAAGTCGAAAACCAAGAAAGCCACGATGCAAAAAAAGTTCTTCACTCGCTAACAATAAATTACAGTAAACGAAATCATTCATTGATTAATTATTCTTTTTCATCAACAAGTTTGAAAAGGCAAAGAAAAAGCGGATGTTATTCTTCTCACCCTGTAGACACTTGTTCAATTTTATGTCAAACCCTAATGAGAAAAAGCGGAAAGAAATGAAAAATGCCCATATATGTAACAGTTTGTTTTGTAAAACCAACTGGTCAGTGGCCAGTTGCCAGTGAACTGCCAGGGATTTAAGAAGGGCAGTAAACATCCAACAAAGGATCACTTATCCTGTAATTGATCTTTTGTCTGCCTGTCCACGTACAAGTCCCACTACAAACTATCACCATGCACGGCCGTACCGTGTGCGTTCATGCGTGGACCGTCTCCCGCTTTGGCTTGAAGGGTCCCACACTCCCTCAATAACAATACCGTCTCCCGGTAAATGAACCAGGGGTATTTAGCCCGCCCGCCTAAGCATATGAGATTGCACCACCTACTATGTAGCTTCACTGTACCGTTATACCCTAACAGAGCAAAACGTAGTGTTCACAGCTCTTAGTTGTGTAGCTAATAACAATTACACATTGTAAGATCGCTGGCCATTACAGTTTAAAACAAACCATGTGGTTTGGTGAAAAAAAAACACATGTAGTGTGATTTAGGCCAATCTGAAATGGCCTCAACATTGCCTTTACTGAAAACGCCTATAGAAAAGGGACAAACCTCCAGTGAAAAGAGGAACAGAAAGTTGTCGTAACTCAACTGAATAAAAATGAATGAAAGATACACACACTGTTAGTAGTGGTGAGACCACCACCATGCTCAATATGTTTGGAGAACAGTTATGATTATGAGGATGAAAGTGGAGAGCATGAAGTTGAAAATCACAAGGGACTGGTTCGCAAGCTGCAGCGGGAAGCCTGAGCATAAGCAAAAGCACTAGCAAGGCAGCTAACCATGCAAACACAGCCCAGATTCAGGAAAAAGCAAGAGAGCATGACAAGTCAGCTAATACGTCCAAGAACATGGCAAACAAGTTAGAAGGCAATGGGAGACTTTTGAGATGATGGTGGCAGCAAACACACCGGCCTTTTCAATTGTTTCCGTCATGTTTAAGCTAAAGTGTGCATGCTCAATATGACGAAAACAATTAAAAAGGACCAGTGTGTTTGCTGCCACTGTCTCAAAAGTTTCCCATTATAAGTAGCTTAACCATAGATATGGAATAAAAAAGACTAGATTGGCAGTGCATACAGACGCGCGTTCTGCAATGGGTGGCGCCATTTTTCAGCGCGTGGGGCAAAAGCTGCGTTACACGCACCTTTATTTCCATAGGTTTGTATGGAAAGATATATTTTTATGTCCTTAAAAGTAATATTTCTGACCTGTAGTAGTTATTTCTTCAACAAAATTCAAAATGGGTTATCAAGCTGCATGCTCATTTTGAAGTTTGGTCCATTTTATTTCTAGTATTTATTTCCCGTTTTAAAATGCTGCTGCGCGTTGCTTAAAAAAAACACCTGCATCCAGTTGTTTGAGCGCTATTTTCTTCATCAACAAACAGAATAATAAACATTTTGAACGTCTTATTTCCGTAGTTGTTGCGCTGTCCTTTAATTTAAATTCACAGCAGCTTTTAAGGGACAACGCCCAAAACATTTATTTTTCTCCATTGTCCCTCCTCAGGGTATGACATACGCCATAATCAAATACAGTTTTGTACGGTTGGATACTGGGGGGCCGGGGGGATGTACGCCCCTCCCCCAGCCCTTCATTAAAATTATTTTTAAAAAAACAGAACAAATAAATTTGTGTTATTTTTCTCTGGACCTCTAGTGGCGTATCCAGCATCTGAAAAATCTTCAAGAAGGCGCTAGAATCTCACAATGTTGAACAAAGTGGGTACTAAAAGTAGAGCACAATGTAAATAAACTTGAGAAGTTAATTAGGTTATTCTGAGGTTGACCTGAACATTACGGGAGTGTTAATTATTTCATTCTGAAAACGGTTTTCAGGGGCAATATTATTGTCATTAAAAGTCATACATATACAATGCAATCCAAGTAAATTGTTCTCATCCCAAAAGGATAATAATTGTAACACAAATCTCTAAAATCATCCATTGAAACATTTCACAATTTTCTTAAATAATTCAAGGGTAATTTAAAGCAGTTTTTAAATTCAACGTTTTCCTTGTCACTGTTTAAAACAATGACTTTATACACATTTTATCAGATAAGCTGACATTTATTTGGAAATTTTTAGCAACGCGCACCACCATTTTGAAACGAAAAATAAATACGAGGGAAAATGGAGCAAACTTTGTGGTGACTACCAAGCTTGAAAATGCATATTGAATTTCGTTGGATACCTACTGGTTAAAAATGTTACTTTTACGGACATAAAAAAGTAAATTTGTGCACAAACCTACTGGAATGTAGGTGCGTGTAACGCACGTTTTGCCCCATGCACTAATGCGTGTAGAGCGTCCATGCGGGAACAGGATAATTTGTGCACACTCTTCAGCGCGTATGCACGCGCTGCCAAATCTAGTCATTTATTCTATATCTATGAGCCTAACAGACATGATAAATGGACTGTTAAGAGATGCTGTCTCTAAAGAGAATATCAATGAGTTGAATAAACATTCAACAGACCTGAGAACTGGGGGGGGGGGTGGTAAGGGGGTATTTACCCTCATCCCCCCAATATTTTGTAAAGACTACCCTTTTCCATTCAAATGCCTTTTTTTTTACCAGCATTTAACCCCCCCCCCCCCAATGTTTGTAAAGGGTGCCCTTCTTTTGTTAACAAGTGCCCTTTTTTCCGGAACAAGTGACCTTTTTGAGAAAAAGTCTGAGTGTGCCTAATCTAGTGCTGCAACTGATCCTCAAAGTTTGGGTCGGTTCGGTTCGGTTGCGGTTCGATTTTTTTTCTCCGAACTTCGGTTCGGTTCGGTTCGGCTTTGGAAGTGCGATAATGTACATGTCCATACAATGTCTTAGGTTACAGTGAAAAGCATGTAGGCCGTTCCCCTGCTCGAACAAACACGTGTGTACCGCGCACATCTGACAGAAATAGGCACCGCCATTTCCACATGCTATTCAACACAAGTTGAATGATGAATCTTATTTTTTTGTGTAAACAAAATTCCGTTATAATTTGACTCGATGACGTTGAGAAATGAACATCGTAAATTGCTACCTTGTTACCTATCGCAGCCCTATCCTTTCATTGCAAGCATTAGCATTCATAGCGCTATCAACAAATACTTGCCGAACTCTTCCGAACCGATTTTGGGTTTGGTTCGGAAGGCCAAGCTCGGCTGTTTTTAGTACAAGCCTAATCGTCAGTTTTAACCAGCCCCCCACATCGCCCCCCCCCCCCCCCAATTTGATTTTATGAAGGAAAAGTGTCCACGGAAAAAACATGTCTACATTTAAGTACGGATGTGCAAGTTGACCTTTTTAAGAATTCCCCCCCCCCCAATAAAAATGACCGCGCTACGCCCCCGCATTTGTATTATTCACCCTCAAACTACACCACTGGACTCTTAAGTTTCAATCAATTCAAACTTCTGTTGTTGAAGGAGTTATGCTTCCTGTGGATGAGCTGGCTCAGTTAATGAGTGGTTCAAGCACTGTTGATCTCTTTACTTGACTTTGGTACAGATGCCCTAGCACTGCTAGGGAAGACCAATTGTCTATAAAACTTGAGAAGATGAGGCTGCATAAAAAAATGATACTAAGCAAGATTACCTTCATCTATGCTGCACAACAGTTTCATTAACAGATAATTTGTTTGGTGATGACATCACCAAGAGGGGACAGCCAAGAGAATAATAAAACAGGACACACAGTTAAAAGGAAGTTGGAACCAGGCAGCACAGAGGAGCATGTGCAAGAGCAAGGAGACAGTTATAGTATTTGACGATGGAGTCTACATCGGAACGTCAGAGGAAACTGACGCAGAAGGGTGCTGCATACACTAAAGATGTTGAAGTACAAGAGATTAGGCGAGGCATCAAGTTGAAGTCTGATGCCGTTCGCGTCAAGTTGGGAACCAATCCGTCCCTCGATGAAATGAAGGATGCATATAAGGAGTAGATGGACCTGTTTGAGGAATTTATGACATGTTACGATGAATACTGCCAGTTGCTGAATGAGGATGAGTGTCTACAGTTTGAAATGATTTGTTCACGGATAAGAAGGTCTGGCTTTCAAATGTAAGGGTGAGGATCTAAGACTGGATGGTCAAACAGGAGAGTCCAAGCTCAAGGTCGTCGAAACATTGAGATCATCAATACGCTCAAAAGCATCGCAGTTACTCATTCAAGAACAACAAAAGGAAGCAGAGCTACTCACCCGCCAAAAGACCTTGAAGGAGAAGCAGGTTCTTGAGAAGATGAAATTGAAACAGCGTGAAGAGGAAATTGAGATCAAGAAAGGCCAAGGTGGCTGTTTTAAAGGCGAAATGTAAGGTCTTGGAGAAGTTGGAGAAGGCAAGCAGAGGAAGCAATGGAGATGAGGAGCGTCAAACAAGGGTCACAGAAGAGGGAGCTGATATGAACACCGGTGTAGCCGTGACAAAAACCAAACCTGATGCATCCGCGCCTGTTGGCGGTGGGGATAGCAAAAGATCAAGTTCTGGCAAGGCCTCTGAGTCTACAGATCACTGGATGCACTCATTCGAGGACTTCTTGGATTAATACGAAACCGGTTTCAGTTAACTGTTTCCATATCCTGAGCCAAAGACTGTTGGTACTGCACTGACGCATTGTCCAGCAAGTCGTCCTCCTCAAATTGTTCTTGGTGTAAGTGGTGTGCGACAGGTTGATGGGGGTGCACAGCCTGGTCCTTCCACAGGTAGACTACCGCAGGATACAAATGGTGAGCCACAGCCTACAAAGTCAAAAGTAGAGGTGCCAAAGTTAAAGAAGATGTGGGTGGTCAATCTGTGGATGAGATGAGCAGGCATCTGCAGCGGCCAAAGTTGGAGGTTGAAAAGTTCAGTGGTGAGGCAATAGATTTCAAACACTTTATGAGGATGTTCAATGCTAAGATGGCTAAGTTGTGTGACACTGATGATGAGCGTCTTAATTATCTGGAGCAGTTAACAACAGGCCCCAAATAAAGGCAGACAACCTGAAGGCTCTTGATGCATTTCCAATCTTCTTCAATGAGTGTCAGAGTGCCGTCAAATGTGTTGGTAGTTTGCAGTTCCTGGAGTATAGTGAGAACATCAAGACCATGATGATGAAGTGCTTCCATACAATTGTCATGAAAGATGGAGGTCTCGTGTGCAGCAGCGCAAGAAGAATGGAGAAATGGTTAAATTCCACCATCTGGTAGAGTTTGTGAGGCTTGAGTCCAAGATGGTCAACGACCCTGTTTATAGTAGATTGCTTTTTCTGCTTCAGCTGCAAGTCCCCAGAAGAAAGCTGTCAGTGGAGGTGTCACAAAACCCAAAGTCACCATGGCCATGAGAGAAACCAAAGAAGTTCAGACCAAGAAGGATGCTGACAAGATTTGCTGGTTTTGTGGTGGTTCACACTTGTTGAAAAGGATGCTCCCAGCTGCGAGAACAACCCTGGAGTGAGCGCATCGAGGCTCTGAGAAAGAAACGTCTTTGTTTTGGTTGCCGATAGATGGGCCACATCAAGAGGGTATGCAACGTGAAGGTCTAAGGTATACCAAGGTAGCATGTGACAGTGAAGATGAGAACCAGTGTACGATGGCAATTGTCCCAGTTCGTGTGAGACTTGCTCATGGGTTTAATTATGTCGTGACCTGTGCTTTCCTGGATCCAGGAAATGTCGTCCTGCAATGAATCCCTGATGAAGAAGTTATGTGGTGTGGGCAGATGAATGCGCTAAAGGCTTCACACCATGGAAGAGCTACACAGCATGGATACTTACCTGATTGAAGGCTTAGAAGTTCAGTGTCTAGATGGTATGGGCATAGTCAATATTCCAAGGGTGTACACCAAGGATAAAATATTCCAAGGGTGTACACCAAGGATAAACTACCTGTTAAGCGACATCATATTCCAACCCATGATAATACATCTCACAGGCAACAGCTGGAAAATGTTCACCTGCCTCAGATCAATGATGGTATCGACCTGTTGATCGGTAACAATGTTCCTGATGCCTACTCACTGTTCGGGGGTTAGAGGTTAGAACGGGACCATCGTCAAGACCATCGTCTAGATGTGAGTGACCCTTCTCAACTAATGCCTCGTGAAAGAGCTCTGGGTGTTAGCTGGGATGTGAAATCTGATTCGTTGAGCTTCAAGATCTCGATGACGACCAAAGATCCTACCAGGAGGAACATCTTGTCAATTGTTAGCTCGGTTTAGGATCTTTTGGGATTTGCTTGCCCTGTCATTTTACCGGTCAAACACCTGCTGCAGAAGTTGTGCACTTTTGTTGGACTTTTGTTGTTAAGACTTATCATTTGGTCTCATATTAATTTATTTTTTAATTGTGAAGAACCACAATTGAGGGGCGGGGATGTGAAGGCCAAATGCAAGACCCAGAGCAGTGGTTTTGTTGGTGAGGTAATTTTTTTTTTCATTGTTCATTTCATTTTTTTTTTATTCCAACCTGGAACACACCTTAACCCCGGGGAGGGTTACACCAACATCTTTAACCTGAATGTTTAAATATACATTAATAATATACTTTATTTCCTTTAGTTAATGTAGAAACAATTCTTGTTCTCTATATTTAATACCGTCATTTATTTAGAAGTTTGAGAGACTTTTCAAGAATAATTGTGCTAGACGAATAATTTATTTGTGTACTTCAAGAGCTCATTATAATTTGTTTGTGCAAACTGATATGTCCACAGAAATAGAAATAGATCTTTCTGGATTTCATTTTACTCTAATGCTATTGGATTATTCAAATAAGTTCACCTTTCACACTTGATGAAATTAGGAATGATATATACTTTACTTATTGATCATGCATGCACAACATACTTTGTTAAGCAATATTAAGTATTATTTATTATATTGTTTGTTACAGCTAATCGGTTCCGGTTTTCTGGTTATGCGGTTTTGCAGTTTGGATACAGTTACCAGTTTGGCTATGGAGTTGTGATGTTGTGCAGCTGTCATGGATGCATTAAACTATATTAGCAATCAATCAAATAGTGTGTCTTACTTGAGTGGTTGGTCTGGGCCACATTGGGGAATAAAGTTCAAAGGACAGGGCAGAGGCCAATTCCGTCGACAATACATTTCCTCAGCAGATTATTAAAACAAGTGAGAGTGCACAATAAGCTCTGGCTGTCTTGCATATTAAAAGGTCTTGCATAAAATCTATCAAAACGATCCCTGCCAGAGCTTAAACATGCACCGCCCAAAAATGCAACGCCAATGCCAAATATGGAACCCCCATACTTCAGATTTATTCAGTAGCATATTCTCAATTTATCATTTTTGGAGGGAGGGGGGGGGGGGGCAGGCACGGTTCTAGAGCCAATATTTTCGGGGGACTAGCAGGGTGGATCCAGAATTTTTTTTCAGGGAGGCATGCTGAAATGTAGACCTGTTATTTTTTTCCGGACGCTTAGGCCTCCGAAAATCTATAGGTTGGGGGGGGGGGGGGGGGGGGGGGGCTCGTGCCATATTTTCAATGGAGAGCGCTGATAAAATCCTACAATTAGGCACAGGCACACTATATTAACTAAAAGTGTACAAATGCATCCTTCTCACGACTATTTATTTTGGGGGAGACCGTTCGCATGTACGTCACATTCTTACATATTGCTAGTACGGTGTGCCGTTATTTTGTTTTGTAACGCGCTATCCTTTTGATCCCATAAAAGTGTTAATAACATGCTGTACCGCTCGTTTTACGCTGCCTTGCACAGCCTAGCCTGTGCACTCGTACAACCGTTAAAGTAATGTACTGCCCTCTTTTGGCGAGAATGAAGGGACGTAATGTACATTATACGACGTTTCATAGCCACGTGTACGTGCTCTACATGTGGAAGTCCTGTGCATGTTTTAAAGCTCTCTGCCGCAACTTGCGCAAGGGTATTTTTTTTGCCGACGCCGCGTCAACTGTGTGAACATTTTGACAAGCTGGGAACTTGGCACTGTTGAGGCAAATGTTTACGCTATCATTTAATGGGCAATTCAAGATTATATCTGTACGGATTGATTTGTCAGCAATTTTTGAAAAAGGAAAGGTCTTTTCAACGGAACTTCCGGTCTGATGACGTCATACGCCTAAAACTTGATGTGGACTGTGATGTGGACAGGATTTGACCTCGGCAACACGTGCTCTACAGGCTGACTGACATACGATGTATGTGCGTAACGTACGTGTATGTACATATAGACGTTCTGTGCATGTTTTAGAGCAGAGGTATTGTCAACCTGAAGTTTTAAGCGTGCGCAGGGCATGTCCGAGTTCGCTTATTGCCTCGAAGCTTTGAAATGGTTTAGACCTACCCTTAAATCGACAATTAAAGTAAAAACTAACATAAAAACTGCCATGGTTGATTTTTCTGGAATTTTCAAATGAAAAAGGGTCTTTTCATTATAACTTCCGGTCTGATGACGTCATTCGCCTAAAACTTCGCACATGTCTTGAGTGGGTCAAGGTCATCATATACACCAATATTTAGGTGATTCCGACAAACTTCGCACAGACATCTATTCAAAATACATTTTTGAAAATTTTCAACCTGTTGCTAGAGGGCGCTCGAAAGTTAAATGACGTCATTGGTAGATGATTTCAAGAATA